GTTACGGTCCGGGCATTCTTAGCTGTGGCTGCGGCTCAAGATTGGGAACTTCATCAGATGGATGTGCATAATGCATTTCTTCATGGTGATTTAGATGAGGAAGTCTATATGAAGCTTCCTCCTGGATTTCATCCTACTCAGCCTGGTATTGTGTGTCGCTTAAAGAAATCTCTATATGGGCTAAGGCAAGCTCCTCGTTGTTGGTTTGCGAAATTGGCTGCTGCTCTGCGACATTATGGTTTTTCTCAGTCTTATTCGGATTATTCTTTGTTCATTTTTCGACGTGGCCCCATTCGTATGCATGTACTCGTCTATGTTGATGATCTCATTATTGCCGGTAACGACCCTGCCACTTTGATTACTTTTAAACAATACCTGAGCAAATGTTTTCATATGAAAGATTTGGGTGCTCTTAAATACTTTCTTGGCATTGAAGTAGCGCGTAATCGTGAGGGTATTTTTTTATGCCAAAGAAAGTATACTCTCGATATTATTTCTGAGACAGGTTTGCTTGGGGCCAAACCCGCTGGGTTCCCAATGGAACAAAATCACGCGCTTGCTCACGCCACCGGACCGCTACTTGATAATGCCGAGCCCTACAGGCGCCTTATTGGCAGATTGATTTATCTGTCTTTTACACGCCCGGATTTAGCCTATGCCGTTCACATTCTCTCCCAGTTCATGCAATCTCCACGACAACAACATTGGGATGCCGCGCTTCGCGTTGTTCGCTATTTGAAGGGTACACTGGGGCAAGGCATTCTTCTAAGTTCTTCTTGTAATCTGATTTTAACCGGATGGTGTGATTCCGATTGGGCCAGCTGCCCACTCACCCGACGCTCTCTCACTGGTTGGATTGTGTTTCTTGGTGGTTCCCCGATCTCTTGGAAAACTAAGAAGCAACCCACAGTCTCACGTTCTTCTGCCGAGGCCGAGTATAGATCCATGGCTGCCTTAACAGCGGAGTTAAAGTGGCTCAAAAGCCTTCTTCTTAGTCTCGGCGTAACACACTCACAACCTATGCCTATGTTTTGTGACAGCAAGTCCGCACTTCATATTGCACATAATCCCGTGTTTCATGAACGTACAAAGCACATTGAAGTCGACTGTCACTATGTTCGTGACGCAATTCAAGAGGGACTCATCACTGCTCGCCATGTCTCCACTACTGAGCAGCTTGCCGATATCTTCACCAAACCGTTAGGCAAACAACAGTTTCTTTATCTACTTCGCAAGTTGGGCATTTTTAATCTACATGCTCCAACTTGAGGGGGGGTGTTGGGCACTTAGCATTATTGGGCTTGTATAGTATACTTAAATATTTACTTTAATCTTTGTTCATATGGGCTGCGGCCAAACTTAGTCAACTAAGGGCTGATTATATCCCTGTATAAATACGGTACTATGTATGATTGTAAAGAAACGATTTTTGATATTGTTTCAAAAGATACAAAAGTTAATACAGATAGGAGGAGTAGCACTTGGTTCAGACGTTGTTACACTTGTGACGGGGATGGGTGTGAAGTCTGAACATGGGTGATAAAATCGCGAAGAAGGACAGATGTGCGCTTGGCACGCTGTCCACGGCCCAACATGGTATCCGCGGGCGTAACTGGCATGGCTTCTGGAGGTGGCTGAGGAGCCGTAGCTGCCCCTGAATGTCCATGCAACTCATCATGGGTGTCAGCATCATGATTACGTATGTCAACTTGGTCTAGCCATTCATCATCCAAGATAGTAGGAACACTGGGCGTGGGGATTAGTTCGTGTGTTGAATTTGATCCAGCAAGAGAGGTTTCAAATGGGAATTCATTCTCATGGAACTTGACATCACGGGAAACAAATATATCACCAGTCTCCATATCATAAACTTTCCACCCTTTTTGTCCATGAGGATATCCCAAAAAAACGCACCGTTTACTTCTTGGAAGAAATTTGTCACCCTTGGATTTCTTATTGTGAGCAAAGCACAAGCAACCGAACACCCTTATATGATCAAAATCGGGTACACGGCCAGTGAGTACTTCATACGGGGTTTTGCCTCCAAGAACTCCAGATGGTGTGCGGTTAATTAAATAAACTGCAGAAAGAACGCACTCCCCCCAAAAAGATATAGGAACATGAGCTTGAAACATCAAAGCACGAGCCACATTCAAAATGTGGCGATGCTTTCGTTCAACCCGACCATTTTGTTGTGGCGTTTCGACACAAGAAGTTTGAAAAAGAATACCATGATCATTAAAATAAGGAAGCAGACATTTGAATTCCGTCCCGTTATCACTACGCACAACTTTCACGGAGGCATGGAATTGCGTTGCAATCATAGAAAAATATGAGATGAAATATTTATACACCTCCTTCTTGTCACGCAATAAATAAACCCAAACTGCTCTAGAGTGATCATCCACGATAGTTAAAAAATAAATAGCATCACAACTGGAAGGGGTTTTGTAAGGACCCCATAAATCACAGTGAATTAATTCCAAAATGTGTCTTGCTCTATTGTCACTAACGGGAAAAGAGTCACGCACTTGCTTTGCTTGTGGACATACTACACAAGCATTATTCAAAGATTTTTTAAAACAGCCAGAACTAATTGCAGGAACAAACTTAAGAACCCGGTCTGATGGATGACCCAACCGGCGATGCCATAACTCAAACTCTGTTGCACCAGTCACTTGTACAGCATGAAGGACAGGCACACGTCGGAAATAAAACAACCCATCCCGTCTCTCACCTGCTCCAATCAGGTTCCTCAAGGGTAGGTCCTGTATAGCACACATAGAATTAGTGAAAGTAACAATACATGACAATTGATCAGTCAACTGAGAGACAGAGATAAGATGACAGTTCAATTTTGGGACATAAAGCACTTGGTTCAGATTAAAATTATCAGACAAAATCACTCGGCCTTCCAGTGTGGCAGTAACCATACGACCATCAGGTAATCCCACAGAGCAATTAGGAATATTAACAACATCAACAAGACGGCTCAGATCACCTGTCACGTGTCGGGAAGCACCAGTGTCAATTATCCAATCAAAATTACTAGACTTACCGGACATGCGATCATTAGGACGCGTTTCTGCATTAAGCAAGTGTAACAACGTCTGAACCTGTTCCCGAGTCAGTTCCTGGAGCGGATGAAAATCACCGCGATTTGCAGTGGAGGATTCCGATGCTGCCACCAAAGAGGAATCGGCAGGTGTTACTGCATGAGCGCGTGCTCCGCCCCCCTGACCTCGTGTGACTGCTGCGGGCAGATTCCCAACTGCCGTGCCGCGTCCAGCCGCACCGGTTTTATTCCGACTACGTTCCTCCCACCAGTCCGGATATCCATAAATTTTAAAACATGTGCTCACGTCATGACCTTTCTGTCTGCAATGTGTGCACACCAGTCGGGTCTTTTCTGCCTTGTCCATTCTTCCCTTGCCAGCAGTGTCTCCTTTAAGCGCAAAGGCCTGGACATCGGTTACATGAGCTTTCCCTCGTGCTATTGCACGCGATCGTTCCTCTTGAAGGAAGGCCTGGTGCGCGCGAGTAATGTCTGGCAGTGGAGTCTGGGATAACAAGTTGGACCGGACCGTCCCATACACGTCGTCGTCAATGCCAATTAAGAATTGGTGAAGTTGCTCTTCGTTCCGATCTGCTGCATATTTCTCCGCCACTCCGCAGGTACAGTTGCCACATGAACAAGTATGCGGTGGTTTGAGACGGTTTAGTTCGTCATACAGTCCCATTAACTCAGTAAAATACGCATCAACCGACATCGATTTGGTTTGTTTGCATTCGGTTATCTTTGTTCTCAATTGTTGAAGACGAGGGCCATTTGCTTCGCTGAAGCGTTTCTCCAGGTATTGCCATAACTCTCGTGCCTCCTCATGATAAGGGACAGAGGCTGCCACGCTAGGTTCCATACTCCTCAGCATCCAGGATACGATCATCGAATTATTCGTAACCCAGTCGAGAATCTTGGACGCCACAGTTGGTTTTCGTAGAGTTCCATCGATGAAAACAAATTTCCTCCTTGCCTTCAACGAAAGGCTGAAAGCTCTCAACCACGCCACGTAATTGTCACCTTTGAGAATCACGTGGGTGATAAGGTTTCCGGGCTGATCTCCGGAGCTCAAATAATATGGTGAAGCCGGATCAAGTCTGGGAGTTGTTTCGTCCCCCATAGCTCTCAGCGCATACGCACGCGGGTGCTGCACTGAAGCTTCGGCAATTCCTCAGGATCGAGATTAGCGTAGGTCTGCCGCTAAAGGCTCTGATACCATATTAACTTTTGTATCTTTTGAAACAATATCAAAAATCGTTTCTTTACAATCATACATAGTACCGTATTTATACAGGGATATAATCAGCCCTTAGTTGACTAAGTTTGGCCGCAGCCCATATGAACAAAGATTAAAGTAAATATTTAAGTATACTATACAAGCCCAATAATGCTAAGTGCCCAACACTTCCTTCATTAATACTTCTCATTTTTTCATATTTCCCCCCTCCATGCTTCTTCTCCTGCTTCTCTCCTCTTCCGCCTTTTTTTTTCGTTTCAAATGCACGAGCTACAGTAATCGGACGAACGGGGAGAGCTCCGGTGATGTTAGATACATGGGAGACAACAATGAATGTGCAGACCAAGAAGATTTGAAAGACTTGAGCAGATCTTCTTCTCTTGATTTTTTGGTGTGTTTTCGCAATTAAAAGAGTTGTCTGTCTGACAGACAACTTGTAAGTGCAGTGTCTGTCTGTCTGTAATTGATGGTTAATTGTTTTTCATTTGATTTGAGTTGTCTATATTTGTTTTGAGTTGTCTGTATTTGTTTTGAGTTGTCTGTATGTAATTTGTGATGTTTATTTCTTGAGATGTAATTAGTATAACGATAAAGACATTAAATATACACATACAAACAATAAGTATACACATATAGACATTACTTTATTGTGAATTACCATTTTGACATATGTTTCATAAAAAAGACAGACAATACGTATAACTAGACAGACAATAGAGATAACCAGACATACATTATTTTTCACCACAAATTACATACAACTCAGAATGAGATGACAAAAAAATAAATATGAGTTACAAACAACTTCACGACTCTTACAGACACCTCACAACAACATAACAGACAAGTCATTACAGACAACTCAAAACAAATACAGACAACTAATAAACAAATGACAAACAATTAAATATCAATTACAGACATTTATTTTCCAAAGGACAAACAACTTCACGACTCTTACAGACACTGCACTTACAAGTTGTCTGGCAGACAGACAATTCCTTTTATTTCCAAAACACATCAAAAATCAAGAAAAGAATATTTGTTGCTCATGTTATTCAAAGCTTCTTGGTATGCCTTCGTCATTGTCTTCCCTTGAGGTTGCATCCGAAATGGTAACCGGCATATGCCCGCAGTCGGCAAGTCGGCAACTGGCGTAGGGCCGCCGTTGGTAACGTCACCGGTGGAAGAGGAGATAAGCAGGAGAAGATTTGAGGTTGAAGGGGGAAAGATGATAAAAATGGAAAGTTTTATAGAATGGGAAAGATATTGAAATGGAGAAGAAAGGGGAAGGGAGGGGGTGCGTGAAGAAGAGGAGAGGGAGGGAGGGAGGAAGAGAGGTGGGGGTGCAAGAGAGTGGGAAGATGGAAGAAGAAAAGTGAGGGTGAGTTTTTATATGGGATACAAATGAGATAGAGTTTGGAGTACATATAGCAAAATTGTTTCTAGCATAAGGCTCGATTATACAAGGGTAAAATTGAAAGATCAAGCCATTTTTATTTAATCATTTAAAACGGGGGCTTTGTTTAGCAAACCGATGACTGTATATAGAACTCTCCATAATTTTTTTTTGTGCTATTACCAAAGAGTATATTGGGCCTCTTAAATTTTGGCCCAACTTCACATTTTGTGAATGGACTCGGGCTCAAATTCTATTTCTTCCTAGAATTATTACCACGCGCCTAAAAGGGTAAGAATTGTATGATTTCACAAGCTTCCCCTTCAACTCTGTACTCCTACTCGCCAATTCACCGTTCTTCATCAACATACATACATCCAGGTATTTCCCCGCTTTTACGCTCCATGTTCAGTCGACAGACTTACCTCCTTCAACTTCCAACCTATCAAATATTATTATTCAACAAAAAATGCTATCTTGTTTCAACTATCCTGATATAGAAAAAATTAGTGGATGTTTTAATCATTAATGATTTTTAGATGGGCTAAATTGGAAATCTGAAACACGGGATATCTTCTTTTAGCCCTATGAAACGCCACTCTGCAGATCTTGTTTTCACGTTTCAGATACGGAGTTGCTTTATTACATTCGTGTCAATTTTGGGAATTTTTATTTACAGACCCATTTGGTTGTATGCGTTTTGGAATTTAAAGATACGTTTTTTCCCATTTTTTCTTGAAATCTTAGGAGTGTCGGCCACATATAATTGTTTTATTTTGAATAATACGTATTACATTATTAAATCTGCATCTTTTGTGAGTTTTTCGTTGCTTGGGCAAAAGTAAATTTCATGCTGACATCAGGGGCGGCCCTAGGGGTGCAAGTGAGGCGGGCACCCTAGGCCCAAAAAATATGGGTAAAAAATAGGCCCAAGTTTAGTTCTTTGTAACATATGTGAGCAGGCTGACTTTTCGGTCCTAAAATAACAATTTTTCGAGTGGAATTTGTTGAAGTTCTTCTGAATGAATTTTTTTTGCGAAACTTATGATCATGTTTTCTATGAACTTTAGAATATGTGAGAAAAAATCAGTTTAAAGTTTTATTTAGAAGTCACCTAAATAAATTATTGAAAACACTGCTTTTTTATACATATTTTGGCGCATTATGTTTCAATAATTTATTTAACTGACTTCACGATTGCATTTTAAGCTGAAATTTTATGGATATAATCTACACGTGATGAAAAACATTCTCTTAAAATTTCATAAAGAAATTCCACTCGAAAGCAGATTAGTCTGATATGATTATTTGATTAGTTTATTAATTGATTTCATTCATGGTTGTTTGATTTCTTAATGGTTGACTGCTTTCTAGTGAGTGTTGGTGTTAAACTTGTTGATTTTGTTAGACAAACATTTTCAATTAGGGTAAAATTTATAAACTTAATTAATTTCAAAGTATAATAAAAAGGATGGAATCTGAATACGATTAATACAAAAGAATAGAAGATTAGAGAAAGCAGCTATAAGTAAAAAAAAAGCTCAATGGAAAAGTTGTTTGTGTAAAGAAGTCAAATTCTGAATGTCCTTCTCAAGATGAGAACACATAGTCAAATTCTAAATGTCTTGAAATATTATTATTATTATTATAATTATTATGCATGTCATTTAAGATAGAAAAGAGTTCTACAAATGTTTTGTAACATTAGGCCCATTTTAATTTTCTGCCCCTAGGCCTTCGAACATACAGGGCCGCCCCTGGCTGACATTCTGGATTGCTGGTACGAAAGAGTAAGCTTTTTTAGTTCAATTTTATAGACATCTTGAGCTGTTTCCACCATCCATTCGTTGGGCCAGAATTTTTCAAGAAGCTTGAGTTTTTCTATAGGGAACCACAAAATAGCTATCATTAATTCACTACTGCTAGTTTGAAATGCTCTGCACAAGTTCCACTTCTCACGGTTCTTTTTATTGTAAACAAGGAAGCAATAAAAACAAGGAAAGTGCCATTTGTACACGTTTTTGTACCAATGGCCGAAATTGTGTGTGTACATGTTGTGTCTGAAATGTACATGGCATGTACACAAAACGTGTACAGGAAGCATGCTGTAAAAACAAATATATAATAAATCTCTAGATACTTCAGTGAAAACCCCCAGTTGCCCGTATCCTTATCGAGTCAACAATGCTATAGTTAGGACTTAGGAGTGATTCTTTTTCAGTTAGTTTTGGCAGGGAAATTGGAAAAGAGAACTACATTACTATATCTTGATAGCTAGATAATTCAGTGCTTGTGATGCACTAAGTCATGATTGACTTTCTGACCGATCTACTTTTCATTGTTTTTAAATTTGAGAGCATGTACTCACTGAAACTAAGCTGACCAATATGAAGTTTCAATCTTTTTGGTAATACTATTCACAGGTTATTGTTATTTGTGTAATTATGTTGCAGGGGGGTATTTATTTTGTTTACTTTGGGAACATGCCGAAACAATATCCTGTTCTTGATAACCGTCCCATTAACAAGTGGAAGGTAGCAGAGCTGAGGGATGAGCTTAAGAAGCGTAATTTAGCTGTGAAGGGATTGAAGGATGACTTGGTGAATAGATTGGATGAAGCAATTCAGAAGGAAAGAGAAGCCCTTGAGATGGAAGAAGATGACAAGGGTTCTGAAAGTGAAAGTGAGACAAAAAGTATGTCTTCTGAGTGTGATAAAAAAGTTAATGAAGCAGAAGATAGTGTGCCTAAGGATGAGACCATGGATTTACCTGATGAAACAGACTCTACAAAAGGGATATACAATGATCAGAGTGGAAAGTCTGTTAGTTCTCCAACGGGAGGTGAAAGTAAAGGTTCAGGGACTCCTTTAGAAACCATACCTTCTGTTAATGCAAACGAGGGAATCCATGATGGGATAGCTTCAACTGAGTCAGTCCCACAAAGAGTAACAGGGGAGGATGACGTAACCAAATCTTCCCATAATGATGACGTGGAAACAAAAAAAGTATCTTCTGGGCCTGATTTGTCTCATTCAAGCACCACCCAAGTACATGATGTCATCTCTAATATAGGGTCTCAAGTAGAATCTGTTACAGGCGATGCTCAAACTGGAAATTCTATTAATTTTCCAACAGCTGGGGAAAGTATAGATTCAGATGCTCCTTTGGTAAGTGAGGTAACCATACCTTCAGCTGATGCTAATGAGGGAATCGCTGATGGGATGGTTTCAACTGAGTCGGTGCCATTAGGCAAAGTTGAGGGGGACGAGGTCATCAAGTCTTCCCAAAATAATGATGTGGAAACAAAAATATATTCTGCCGAACCTGATTTGTCCCACTCAACCACCACCCAGGTACATGAGGTCATCACTAATTTAGGGTCTCAAGTAAAATCTGACTCAATTCCTACTGATACTTTGCCGATTTACTTAACAAATGAACATAACTATGATTTGAGTCCTGATAATGTCATTTTAGAAAAAGAAATTGATAGGTCAGAAATGGTTCTTCCATCGTCCAACAAAGACCTCTCAGATGTTGGCGTAGCTCATCCAATGGATGCAAAAATGCCAAGTGTGAGTCATGGTCTTGTTGGAGGAACTGATGACCAAAAGTCCCCAAATGTGAACTTTAGCATGAAAAATGAAAATGCAGACCAATCTTTAGTAGTAGATGCTCTCATTATAGAACATAATAAGGCTTCAAATAGTACTGAGCTGCTGGAAAAGAAGGAAGCATCTGAAGAAGAAAACATTGGAGTTGGTGCGTCTACAAAGGAAGCTGATCTTCAAGGTATGATTGTTATTACCATTTTTTGGAGTATCCTATCCAAATTGTCTACCTGGTTTGAGTCTAATATATACAATCTTGTTGTAAACCTCACCCGTGGAGGTGTGCCCATCCACCTGATGATTTGGGACAGCCATTGTGGAAGTCGGTTTGGGCCCATTTATTCACCATGTTAGTTGTCTAATCTGATTTGGGGTGAAAGGAAGTATTGAATATCCCATGTTGTTGTTGTCTAGTGGGTATGTGTCTAGTAGATAAGTATGGGATCACCCTTGCCCAGTTTTGGCTTGAGGATTCGTTTGAAGACATAGGTCAAATTTAACATGATATCAAACTCTTGGCTGGTTTTGGGCCTTTTGGCATGCGGGCTGCTAGCCTAGATGATGGTTTGGGGTAGCCCGTCTGGGTCAATTTGGGCATGCTCACTCTTAAGATGTGCAGTCCAGAGGGATGCATTGAGCATCCCACATCAGGTCACCTTACCCTATGAGGCTCTTTTTTGGGCAGGTTTGAGTGTTTGACTCAATTTAACATTTTTTCCCTCCTCGAGTGTATCCCTCTACATCTCTACTAATGTTTTATATTCTAATGTGTTCTCCAATCGGTACTAGATGTTTCCATCATAGAACACAACATGAATGAGACAGATTCAAATAGTACTCAGCTATTGCAAGGTCTGTCAAATGATGGAAAGCTAAATGAAGATAAGTTTTCGTGTAAGGAGGAGTCATCTGAACAAGGAAAAATTGATGTGGATGTGTCTACCATGGAAACCGATTCTCAAGGTATGATGGGCTATCGTCATGCTTTTTCCTTCCTTCTCTTACTCTATTTGGTATCCTTGTGTTGTACAAACCCTTAGTAAATTTTCCCATTATAGAGCTTAAAATGGATTGCAAGGCTTCAAACAGCATCAAACTGCTGGAAGAAAGTGCGAGTGAAGCTTTGTCTTCATTTCAAGAGAAGGAATCATCTGAAGAAGAAAAAATTGAAGGAGAGAAAATTGATGTTGATGCTTCTACCATGAAAACCGATTCTCAAAGTATGGTGGCTATCCTCATGTTTCCTTCTTCCTTTTCTTATTCTGTTCGCTATCCTATTATTCTCTCCAATCCTTAATAGATGTTTCCATGATAGAGCACACCATGGATGATAAGGCTACAAATATTACTGAGAAACTGGAACGGCTTTCAAAAGGTGGAGGTCTAGCTGAAGATAATTTTCAGTGTAAAGAGACCGATTCACCGGGGAAAGAAGAAGTTGATGTTGCTGCTTCTGTCAAGGAAGCTAATTTTCAAGGTTTGGTTTTATCTTCATGCTTTACCCTTTTAATGTACATAATAATAATGTCCATTGACGAAAGATACTAATGTGGATGCCAATGGTTTACTGAAGCGGAAGGTGAATCTACTGATATTGCGGAAGGAGATAATCTTGAAAAAATAAACCTCGACCAGTCTTCTCCAGATGATTCCATGGACGAGGACATAGCTGACCCAAAGAACATTGATTCTGAGCACATCTCCTTTGAAGTGTTAGGTAAAAAGACAGAAGAACCCCTTACTAAGAAACCTGAAGTTGAGGTTGAAGGTAGTATTAGTGCTACAATGCTTGACATTTCTTCTGATGCATGTCAAGTTTCTCTTGGAGATCAGAAAAACATACTAGACTTACCTGACAAGAGAAAATTTCAAGGTGTGTATGCCCTATTGCCTTCCCTTACCTTCAAGTTCTCAATACCTGATCAGCGTTTATTTCTGTGATATTTTAGCACAATAAGAGTTGGGAGGTGCCTCTTTCCCGTTCGCAAATAGGTTTCTATCAAGGAAAAATAGGGGTTTAAATAAGTTAGTATTGATATCAATCGACACATGCCCCAATAGATTTTCAGGTACTAAACATAACTAAGAAGTCAAATAAAAAAGGAAGGGCAGCTAAGTCATTTGTGTTTTAATTTATTGGATTGCCAAATGACCAGCTGGTCCAGCTATTTTAACTTACCGAGTGAACTTGCTATGTAGTAATAACCCACCATCTATTTGGTTTACAAATAATAAAACCATCCAAAGCAAATTGGCTTATGCAGTTTCTGGTAATGAATAATAATCATTAATAAACAAAGTGAAAGTTATTAAGTGTTGCCTAATGTGACCATATACTGTATACTTGGGCAAAAATAGTGTACCATCTATGACCTTCACCCAAAAGGTCATTTTGTTCCAAAAAAGATGTCAGTTTGATCAAAATAAGCTGATCATCATGTAACTTCAAAAAGAGCCAGACACGTCACAGATGATATTCATAGCTAAACCAATAAATAAATTTTAAAAACAAAAAAGTAAGCATTGTCAAACATGATTTTTTGGATCAAGGCTATAGTTAGCAGTTAGCAACTTAGCACTATCGCGTGTCTAAATCCTCAAGCAGTTAAACATCAATAAAGGTGCATCATGTGCTTTTATTTGTGTCAATTGGCAGACGCAGTGGCAGCAGGAAACAAGGAACCTGCCAAAAGGCAGCGTAAATGGAACTATGAGTCTGTAAAGGCATCTGAACCAAAAAGTCCCAGTGTCTTGCTCCTCACACCCAAGCAAATCTCCGAGCCAAATATCACTGGCAGTGGCTCTGTGGTCAAGGCTGATTCCCCAATGGAGCGCATTGGTCAGCATATCTTTTATTTTCTATGTTGTAAGTTTTGTTTTAAATAAACACAATTTCTTAATAAGTTATTACTCTTTGGTTGTGTATTCCAGTTCCAGAGTCATCAAGAGTGCCTACCGATTCTCTCAGAATTGATAACTTTCTGAGGCCTTTCACAGTGAAAGCTGTGCAAGAGCTTTTAGGGAAAACTGGGAATGTTTGCAGCTTCTGGATGGACAATATCAAGACCCATTGCTATGTCACGGTAATTTCATTAGCATTCTCATTCTCAATTTTGTTCTCACTAGACCCAACAATTTAGTATTTCCCCTGTAGCACACTGCACATTTAAGCAAGGTTCGAAATTGCGAATTGCGTAGTCGTGGCATTTTTTTAATATTGCATATTGCGTAAGCCTCATTGCGCAATGAGGCGTATAGCTGAGGCGTAATATATATATATATATATATATATATTATAAACATAATAAAAAATAAACATATTCATCAAAAGTCATCAAATGTTATATTAAAACAAACCATAAGAGGCCAAGCAAAGTAACATGTTCAAACTTCAAAGTATACCAAAACATTCTGAATCATTTATCAAAACAAAAATCTAAGATATGAAAATTTAAATTAATTAGATTGATTGACTGAAAAATTCAATCAGTAACTACTGGTTTGAAATAGGGATCATAAGATCAATTATAAAAATTTAAAAGTGGGCCGAGTGGGCCCAAATAATACCCTTACACCCTGACCTCCTATTGCGTACGCCTCAGAGCGCCTTATTGCGTATCCAATATTGCGTACGCCTCAGTGCAATATTGCGCACATCACACTCCCAACGCCTTATGCAATGCCTTTTACGCCATAGTCCAGGAATTAGCTGAGGCGCGCCATGAGGCGCAATTGCATTGCGCAATTACAAACAATGCATTTAAGTACAAATTGAAAGATTTTTGCTAATATTCAGGGTTTGGGTGGGATCCCTGAACTTGGGTCCTAAGGCACTCAGGCCAAACAATACTAAAAGATTGAATCCAAACAATTTAGGGTCACTTAACAGTTAACACCATTAAGCACTTGCGCTGAACCATCAAAAAAGATTGAATTTAAGTCTATTAGCTAGTCTAACCCGTGATCTGATTAACCAATTATTATCTCTTTAATTTTCCGTTGCGGGACTTTATCACTTCTTTTATTGCTACAAGTAAACTTCTTTTTAACCTTTTGAAGCATTGCTGTGTGAGTTTATATATAGAGAATTATTAATTTATGAGCTCTTTAGTGTGTAATCATTAATGTATTAAGGTTGTGATGAATATTTTCGGTACAGTTTTCTTCCGTGGAGGAAGCTATAGAGACTAGAAAGGCGGTTTATGGCCTTCAATGGCCCACATATGGAGGTCGTTGCCTGATTGCCGATTTCGTGGACCCACAGGATGTGAAGGCACAGCTTGTGGCTGGCCCTTCCAACCCAACTGCTCCTCCAGTAAGCAGCACTCCAGCAATCCCCTCTCCAGTCCAAACTTTGCCTCAGCCTGCCTTGCCACCAGCCAGGCAACCGAGTGGTCCCTGGGAGCAAGTTGAAAGACCCCATCCGCTCTCCCGACAGCCACCTGCTCATGACCACCGGTCCACAATGAAAGAGAGGGTTGCTAGACCGCCTTCACCTGCTGCTCCCAAAACAGAAACACCACCCATGCCTACTTTGGATGACCTGTTTAGGAAAACGAAAGCCACCCCTCGGATATACTATCTACCACTGACGGATGAACAAGTATCCATAAAGCTCAACACACAAAAGGAAAGCAAGTAGGTTTTGCATTTGGAGAGTCAAGCGGGTAACTTGTATGCAATAAAATCACCATTAGGTGGAGGGCTTAAAATGTAATCCAAAATAGATTGCCTATTTGTGATTATTCTTATTATTAAACTAATAGTAGGCATAGTGTTAGAAGTTTTGGTTTTTAGTTTTGACTTCTGAACTTCATGGAACCACATACTATTTGGTTTTGGTGGTTTAAACCTATGCTTACTTGACATTCTTCTTATTACTGTGATAGTGTGATATATTAAGAAACAATTAGCAGCAATATGTTTGGAAACTATATTACCAGTGTACAACTATGATCGAGGTTCCTTGGCATATGCGACGTATAGAATAACTCATCTAAGTGTACAATTTAGTTTAATTAATGTGACAAATAATACAATCAATGACTATTTGAGAGAACTTTATCACGAAATGAGAGTCACGTCTCCAATTTTTGTTGTGTTTCGTCTCCCAAGTCCCAACTAACGCTGAAAATTATCAGTATGTCTAGAGTGAAGATGCAATATTGTTATCTGTATGGCCAAAACTTTAAATATTGCTGCATTTTAAATTTCTTATATAAGTTTTATTCTTAAATTTAAAATTAAATTTTGATGAAATGAGATCAATCACCAATATATTGATAACAATTTAAAATGATATACTTTTGCTAACGATATAACAATTGTTCAATATCACCGCATACAATATTATTGATTGTACACTCTTCTATTTTAAATTGTGTAAATATTAATTAATCCTTGTGTTAAATTTGATCGATCACTTTTCTAATCAGAAATCATAAATTAATTCAAGTTGATTTGGATTCATCTAAAAATAAAGTCGAACCGAACTACTGTCCGGTTTTCAACACCGATAAAAAACTGAAACACCCTTGTTCAGGAGAGGATCTATGTATAGGCTATAGTGGGCTGAAACTCAAAGTATCCTATTTTTTCAAATTTTTAGTGTAATTTTTTTCATTTTGTATATTCAGCTCACCCTGCTAATGTTTAAGATTAGTATAATTGCTTTCCAGTCCAGAGCATCTCAGATTCCTGGATCTAGGGATGGACTCGGGTCGGGCCAACCGGCCCGGAACCGGACCGGCCCGCTACTGTGCGGGCCCGGACCGGCCTGGTGAACCGGTTCGGTCCCGGTTCGGGCCTCCCGGCCCGGTGGTATAGCGGTCCGGGCCCGGGCCTCCAGTTTAGTGAACCGGCCCGGCCGGGCCGAGCCCGGTTCGGGCCGGAATTAATTTTTTTTTTTTGAAATTTTTTTAAGTTTTGGGTTGGATTAGGTATTTTGGGCCATTTGAGGTGGTTTGGGGTGGAGAGGGAGGGGTAGGGGGTTAAATAAGAGAAGAAGAACAAAAAAAATTAAAAATCCGGGTGGCCCGGCCCAGTCTGGCCCGGAACCGGACCCGGAACCGCCCACCACCGGTTCGGGCTCGGGCCTCATTTTTCTGAACCGAGGCCCGGCCGGGCCCGAACCGGAACCGGTCCACCCCTACCTGGATCCACCCCTGCCCTTGTTAAACATTCAATGATATGTTATCCAATATGAAACTCGTTTTCACGAATGTATTGTTTTAATAATTTTCAAATAACATAAAAGACACATACACATAATATTGGCCTCTTCAAGAACTCAACTTTTAGCTTGTATCCTCCTCTAGACTGGGCTGACATCTCAAATCTCCTTGTAAAGGAGTGTTTGGGTTTGCTTAAAAAAAGCGCTTTTCAGCTTTTGGCTTAAAAAAAGTTAAAAAGAGTGTTTTCAAATGACAGCCTCTGCTTAAATTAATCACTTAAAAACTAAAAGCTGGAAGCAGGTAGAAGGTAATAGTGTAATTAATACCATTAATTAGGTTTCTATATTTATTAGGTTTCCTAATGTATTCAGGACATGTTTTATTATATATATGACACCTAGGGCTACCACATTGGTAAGCCTTTCCATTATTCTGACATGGTATCAAGAGCTCTAGGGTTTTAGAAAGTTTAAATTTTTTTTCGTTCCAATGGCTTCCCCGGTATTGTCCGCCGCCGCCACCGAGCCCACTGCCGCCGTCAACTCTTCACCGACGAGCGAGCAGCTGACCATGAGCGCGGGACAACAACCAGCAACGTCCGAGCCGCCGTCCGTCAGCTTCATCTCCGATGACGTGCTGCCAACGTCGCTGAGCTCCGCCTGGATTCCGCCGATCTTCACGTGGACTCCGACTCCACCGTCCCTCACGATGCCGCCGCTGCTTTCGGCCGACTCTCACAGAAGGGTGCTTTAAACTGCTTCTCACTTTTTCTATTACACAAAAAATACTTAATTTACCAAACACTACCAACTTTTACTATTAATCATTTTTCCTAAAATCACTTTAAAAAATCACTTTTTTAAAGTTGAAGCAATTGCAAACACTCCCTAACTCTTACCATCAAATTCCATACAGATCAAGATCTATATCTCTGATGAGAGACCACATTTAGTGCCATCAATGTAGATTGGGCCATCTAGTGCATTTCCTTTTCCTTTAGTGATCCATCTAATATTAGTGATGGATTCGGTTCGGGCCACCCGGCCCGTGACCCGGCCCGACCCGCTACTGTGCGGGCCCGGGACCGGCCTGGTCTGGCGGTCCGGGTGCATACCCGAACCGGGGGTGTAGCGGGTGGCGGGCTCGGTTCTTATAAAAGGTGGCCCGGCCCGGCCGGGTCGGGCCCAAGTTCGGGTCCAACGGTCTCATTTTTTTTAAAGAAAATCTTTTGGGCTCAAAAGAGCCGTTAGGCTGGGCTGGGGCTTCCCAAACGGCTATATAGCCATTGGGAGGGTTGTGGGGGGGGGGGGGGGGGGTCCGGGCCAGCTGGGGGAGGGGGGAGGGTGGGCAGGGCCGGCTCTAGCATATTTGAGGCCCAAGGCATTCAAATAAAAGTGTTACGTAGTACTCGTATATAACAAAATACTACCTTCATTTTTTCAAAAAAGAAAAACCACTACCTTAAATTGTTTTATAAAGTTGTAAAATTAAAATTTAAATAAGAATTGATATCCTAATTCAGTGAATAAAATACGAAGTAGTACATAATGATTTGTTTAATAAATTACTAAAATAGAGCATTACTATAGGTATACAATCAAGATCTTTGGAGTCTAGAATGAACATAATTATAGGATAAAAATATATCATTTTCATATTATATACTCCGTATTACATACTCCGTACTCCGTACTTTTTTGTATAAGAATTTGTGAGTTTTCAAAGTTAATGTCAATAATCAATAAGGTTAAAATAATAAAGACTAAAATACAAAGAATACATACTCTGTAAAAATTGAAACTAAATACGGAGTAATAAAGAGAAATGATCACTAATTCGATTCCGAACTTTAAATTTGTGTTCACACATATTTAAAATTAAATGATGGATGCCACTATAAAATACTTGTAATTGATTTGCATTAGGGGTGGGCGCGGGACGGGACGGTTCAGGATTTGACTTATCCCGGTCCCGACTCGGTATTATAATAACGGTCTGGTACGATTCGGGATAAGTCATTATCCCAATGATGTCCCATTTAAAACGGGACCGGGACATCCCGAGAAAAATCGGGACGTCCCATAAAATATACATTTGTGAAATGTGATATAAAAATAAGCATAACATCAAAATAAAGATGTAACTGTTTTTGCAAATTTAGCTTATCTAAAAAGTTAAGTAAAACCTCTAATTAACTATTTTTAATTATTGTCTTATAACTTTTTTTGGTCCCCCCCTAATCTTATGTTTCCTCGTAGAATAGTAGCACAAAATATTTGTATACTTTTTAGTACACTTGCAACTTTTCAATATCACATTAAATTAAATATCATATCTATAAGGACTATATATGTTTACTAGTTGTTATTTTGGAAAATATTAAATCTATAGCAACACTATATTTTGGAGTAATTGTTATTCCATCATAATAATATTCCGCACGTAATAATATATTACGGAGTAGTATCAGAATGAGAACTGAAGAAATTTAAACAAAAGAAACAAAAGAAACGAGACGAAGAGAGACATGAAATACGATAAAATGACATTAAGGAGACTAAGGGTTAGAAAGTTTTAATTGGGTTTGGCTTTTACATATCATTAGAAATTTAAAATAACCTACTATTTTCAAACGGGACACCGGGATGGGACATAATATTCTATAACTATCCCAGTCCCGTCCCAGTTAATATCAGTACGGGAGCGGTTCGGGATGAAAAAATTGCATCCTACATGAACCGGGATAGTTTCGGAACGGTATTGAGATTTTTCGAATTGGGTCACTGGGACCGGGATTTTTGCCCACCCCTAATTTGCATCCTAATTTAAGAATGCAGCTGGGATTACGAAGGAATACAATCATCTCTCAAATAACACACATAAATATATATAAATAGCATTTCTAAAAAATTTGAGGCCCTAAAAATATGGAGGCCCTAGGCACCTGCCTAGGGTAACTCCCCCTATCACCGGCTTTGAGGGTGGGGGTGGGTGGGGGTGGGGTAAAAAAAATCCTATAAATACTCCTAATATTAAACATTTTTCCACGTCTTCTCTAACTCTTCCTAAATCCTCTCTACTCTCTAATCATCTCCATCTTCTTCATCTTCTCAAATTCTCTTATTCTCCAATATATTTTACATTTTTACTATTTAATACTTATACAAATATTATATCAACTTTATATTAATTATCTACTTATAAATACATATATTATATTAGTTATTGTTGGGCCGCGGGTGTCACGCCCCGGTCTGGCCGGACGCGCTAACAACCGCCGCATAATCCGATTAAGGCAACCGCAGTTCACCCTACTCGAACCATGCAAGGCGTACATGAATACCATTCACACAAGTACATCCATAAACAATCATAAATAAAGCATTTCAAATATACGCAGCGGAATACAAATACTTTTAAAAAGTAAAAGGCCACACAGGGCGAACATGAGCACGCAGGCTCCCAATTCATTTATAATTTAAAAATAGTCCATGAGCATTATTTTATTTATATCAAAATAGAACTGGAAGAAGCACGAACCACGTCTTCTCTCCATGGATCACCCGAAGCAACGGGAACAGGAAGCAAGCTCTAGCTTCTACCTGAAACTGTGAGGTGGCCTCCCCCGTGAAGGGGATGTCAGTACTTGGAAGCATATGACAAGTACAATGACAACTATACTGAATATAATTCATGTTTCAAACACAAGACTCTCAAAATAGGGTGATACTATATTATGGGCATAACCTACAGCTACCCCATTTCAAATCACTTGTATAGAATATATATACCAAGTCAAATAGCCGACCCGTAG